ATCTTCCAAATTACGGTATCTACAAAAAATGGTTTAGATAAAAGTTGACCAGGACAGAGGGGGTTATTTAATTGTATATGCTGCTGACAGCCTCGGGTAAAAGAGGACAGACATAATGCTATCTCTTTCTTTTTGCAGGTATAGCTATCGACCATATATGTAGACATCATTATTAATTTTATAATCTCCAAAATCATGACAGACAGAAATTGATTCGCGCAAATACAAAGTAAATATTAATATTAGAAAATACATTTTATGAGATTATTTTTTAACCTACAAAATTTTTGTGTTTTTATCCTGATGAGGCTATATTGCATTAATATATTTACTTATTGTTAGAAGTCTATTAGACATCTATTAGATGCCGAAAGATAATTTGTAATCTAAACAGTGTTTGATAAACAATACATCGCTATTGTGTAAATATTAAGTTTTAATTTTGTATAAGGAAATAAATGACACAAAATTACATGGCATCTAATTTAGATATTTCCAGACATTATTTTAGACTAGACTAGACTAGACTATATTAGATGGCTCCGACATCTAATAGACGTATATCCGATCTTGTGTTTCTCCCTGGAAAATTATTTTGTCCTAATTACCAAATATTTGGTAATGGGAACTAAATAATTTCGTCCTAATTACCAAATATTTGGTAATGGGAACTAAATAATTTCGTCTTAATTACCAAATATTTGGTAATAATTACTAAACCATTTCGTCCTAATTAACCATAAAATTATGGTTGGATCTACCATAATGGATTATGGTTGAATTAATCATAAAATTATGGTTGGATCTACCACAACGGATTATGGTCGATCCAACTATAAAATTATGGTTGGATCTACCACAACGGATTATGGTCGATCCAACTATAAAATTATGGTTGGATCTACCACAATGGATTATGGTCGATCCAACTATAAAATTATGGTTGGATCTACCACAATGGATTATTGTCGATCCAACTATAAAATTATGGTTGGATCTACCATAACGGATTATGGTTGATCCAATTATAAAATTATAGTTGGATCTACCACAACGGATTACGGTCGATCCAACCATAAAATTATGGTTAATTCAACCATAATGGATTATGGTAGATCCAACCATAATTTTTATGGGTTAATTTAACCCATAATGGATTATGGTAGATTCAACCATAATTTTATGGTTAATTTAACCATAATGGATTTAGGTAGATCCAACCATAATTTTATGATTAATTAGGACGAAATGGTTTAGTAATTATTACCAAATATTTGGTAATTAGGACGAAATGATTTAGTAATTATTACCAAATATTTGGTAATTAGGACGAAATTATTTAGTTCCCATTACCAAATATTTGGTAATTAGAAAAAATATCTAAATAATTTTGCAAAAAAATTTATAATTAACGTCCTAATTTTTTACATATTTTTAAATTTCTTTTTTATTTGAATACAACTCGACAGCTTGAGGAAATGTAAACAATTGTCATAGAAACATTTATGGATTGCTAATCAATATTGCCTTGACCACCATTTAAATATAAACTGTCAAAATATATTTTTTGCACATGATCAATATTGCCTTGACAACCATTTAAATATAAACTGTAAAAATATATTTTTCGCATATGACATTGAGATAACCAATCAGCGTCGCGATAAAACTGCAACAATACACTTCGATACTTTCGAGATTTCGATACATTAGACTATCGACTTCTCATGCCTTTTTTAAGAGTGGAATATATAACGTGAAATATATAGAATTTTTATATATTTTGGCACATTAAATAAAAAGTCAATGATGCAAGTTTTAAAAACAGCTTTCAGTAGAAAATTAATAAATTTGCTTCTAATAGAAAAAACTTGAACAAGATAATAAGTAATTTTTTAATTTAGAAATTTACGAAGTATGTGTACAGATCTTAATTTGATAAGCAACTCAAAAGAAAACGCGGTGAAATCGCACGATAAGCACAATCGAGCGCACAAAACGGACGCGTGTCAGAAATCTTAGGAAATCCGACCTTTGAGTCCCAAAGGCAGAGAGTCAGATATCGCGATTGCCAGCGGAATCGAGCAGAAAGAGAAGGAAGTCCGCCCACGCGCCAATCCCGTGTAAACATTTGCAATGGATTTGCGAGCTATTCAAACGGTTAAATTCTCTTAAGAATTTGGTTTGTACAGGGGTGGTGTGCCACAGGCTGCCCCCGCACTCCACGCCGCCCTCATCTATATACCACGCCACGCCGTGGTTCCTCCTTACCCCAAACGACGAAGACGATTTCTCCACCCCTTCAACCCCGTCGCGTTCTCACCCTTTGTATTTCTAACAATTGATATTCTCCGTAGTGTAAAGAAACGGACGAAGCACCCCTCGTTCTACCGCCATGCTGCCTGCCGGCCCAATGTCGAACAAATAATACGGGCGGAAAATCTGAGGAAATTACCACGACGCGAATAAATCTGTCGACTCTTTCGGTTTTCACGCCGTTCTCTTTGCTCCCTGCCCTCGGGATAAATTGGAGGTAGCGGACTTCCGTTCAACCTCCTCCGGACTCGTGTCTATCTTCCCGAGTTCAATGAGACGACTCGGATTTTTTTGTTAAGTTCTTAAGAAGCAATAAACCGCGGTAAGCTTTTTTATTTACAGCATTAAGTACTGTAAGTAACAATCAGAAAAAGAAAACCCCTAAATTTCTCCGAAACATGTGTATTTAGAAATAAATAAATAAAAGTGAGCTTTCAAGTAACCTGAGGAAAATTCTAAACGTTATTAATTTACGGGCTTTTTCAATATTCAAATCCGACGTGTATGTTTTATAAAAATAATTTACCATCAGATACTGCGTATCAACAATTTTGCAACTTTTTGGACTTACGCCGATATTTTACAAGGTAAGTTAGCACAAGGATCGTTAAAATCCACGGAAAGGCTACGGATCACGCGAGAGCAAGGATATCAGTAGCGGCGCGAGCGGTATCCCTTAAGGCGGCCGCGAGACCGGGAACTTTGCCGGGAACTTCTATCAAGGGCAAAGGCGAGACGCAACGATCAGTAGTCCTTCCCGGTAGCAGTTCGTCTCCGGTCTCACGGACGTATGTAAAGCAGCGACCGAAACAGCCGGCAGACCTCCGCGACCGCTCCGGGGGCGCCCTTACCTGCTCCTCA